TAAAATAAACTACAAAAAAATATATTAGAAGGGTACTGTTTGGAAAGAAGTATTTATTAACCTTAGGCAACCTCCATCAGTCACAGAGCAATAAAAAGATAAAGCTGTAAAATATACACATAATTCTGTGTATTTTAGCATTTTTATCACACTATTCTGTGCTTTTGTGGAAGTCAATTCTTTATTATCAAAGGAATTTTGAGTTTATACTTAGTATATGTGTTATAATACTATAATAATTTCAGAGTGATTAGTCAAAAATGAACATATCAAACCTATCAAAACAATAAATCACACTTGCTAGGAACATCTAATTACTGAGAAACTGAATGGGGACTATACAGACTTTCCTGTGCTTCTCTTCAGCAAAAGGTTGATCAGACTAAAATTAGCACACTATTGAAATGTGAAATATGTTCAGTCACATACCTACTATAATTGATAGTTTAAGATCTTAAACTAAAATGTAGATTCTATTTTAACTGATATGTTCTAAGTTTCAGGCTCTTCGAAAGAAGGCATTCTGAGCATTCCTCTTGACAACAAAGTATAAGATCATACTGGGGAAGAGGACGGGAGTTATTTCCAAAACAAACATGCTAATTATTTAATAAAAATGCTAAAAATACCCAGCTGCCTTCTCTAGTCACTAATTAGCATAAAATAGTCACATTACAGAATTTTTATGAGACTTCCCTGCATACAGCCATGCGTTTCATTGAGATCTGTCTTCAGAGAATAAGTATGCCCAGCTCCAGATTCTCATACAGCATCACTGCAACCTCTAATTTTCAGCTGTCTTTGGTCCTGCTCTAGTATGCAAACACCTATGGGTGCTCCCATCCCTTTACTCTTGTTTTGGATTATTGCTTACCTCCACTGGACTTCTTGTGGGTTGCAGCAGAAGAGTGTCATAATCCTAGCATAAACTTTGATATAAATTTAATCTATATAAATATGTGTGTGTGTGTGTGTGTGTGTACTCAGCTTGATTTTCCAAAGCCTTAGTGAGTTGCCCACAGCAGCTCTAACAACAAAAATATATCGGAGAAGTCATAAATGCCTCTGTCATGGGAAGCCATGACCAGTTCCAAAATATGTTGGAACCAGTGTTGGCCCCAGTGAAGGCAATATTCCAAGTCATACGTGCTGGGAGGAGAGAGCTCATACTTCTTTACAGTGAAGTGCAGCCAGCAGTTGTCAGGCGCCTTCAGTGCGGCAGGGATGCACAGCTGTCCTGCAGAGCCACGATGGGTGTCTCAAGGGTGTTGACTGGGTGAAATGGGCGGTTCTGCAGAATTAGGAAAATCACCTGTGTGACAGCGTCTCATTTTTCAGAGATCCTCTGAGCACGGCATATGCAGCGGGCTGTGAAAGCATTGTTCCCAGGAAGGCTGAATCAAAATAGCTGTTCGAGATGTGTCATTTTTCAGTGCGTGCTTGTCACAGTTTTTCACATGAGAATGACGGCCCTTGTAATCTGAAGTGTTGTATTATTGTATTGATCCTTCCTCTTTTCTCATAAATTGAGCCACTATAACCCAATAAATGTTTGTAGTTGTAGCCTGAAGATGCATCCTGATAACAACCTGTCCCAAAAATCTCTTAAGGAGAATTACTAGAAAAGTAGACAGATTTTGCAGATCCGATTAATTGGTTTGATGTGTCTGCTTTGTCCTGCTACTGTGAAGCAAGTCAAATTTAAATACTATGCAGTGAGATTTTTTTTAATAGGCTTCATCACAGCTGCTCAAGTACAATTAGAATATAACACTATATTCATCACTATATTTCCTTCTTAAATTTCTTGTTTCCTTGTTATGCTTATTGTCACTGGTATGTACATTTTGGCAGCTATTTGCTTCATACCAGGCCCTGTTTGCTCTTTTGGAACCATACTGTTGAATCTATAGTTTCAGACTCACATCCACACAGCACATAGAGGGGCAGAATCTTTTCTTCACGTGTACATATTTGATACTATTTAAGCAGATGAAAGTGTGGGCCTTAGTAGGCCATGGGAAAAAAGAAAACAACCCTCATAACTGTGGAACTCAAGCTGACAAGAAAATATCCAGCTTTTCCACTCACACCTCATTGTGATGCTAATAAGAGAGAGCAACAGGTACTTCATGATTACTCATCCATAGCAGTCTTCAGAAAACCCAGAAATAATGCTGGAGATTGAATCTACTAATTATAAAGGTATAATTTTCATAATTATCCTGATTATATCATCTCCTTGCTCAGTGCCTTTAAGTGAGAAATGCAAATTTCAGAAACTTTATTACATTAAAATTTCTGTTGCTCATCAGTAGCATTTCTTAGAGTATTTGAAGATAGAGACAAAACAGGGAAAACATGCTGAGTGCAGAGTAATTGAATGACAGAGTGTAAATACTGAATAAGATTGTTTATAAACAAGCTACTTAATATTTTCTTCATTACTATCAACTCTAACTACTCAGAGATTAGCTTTTGATTTTTTTAGCCTTCTTTCTTTATACATTGCTCTTATTTTTCATTCCCACTAACATTTTCCTTGCTTTGACCTTACTGCCATTCCAGTAGGGATAGGTTTTGCTTAGTGTATAGCAGATAATGTCTGTACTAAAGAAAAAAGCTAACAGTAGAATATCATGATGGACATTATATTTATATATACTTATACTACATATACTACATATATTACATACTTGCAGAATTATATATTATATAATTATATACTTGCAGAATTCCAATTCCTATCATCTGCATAAAGTAAATATTGTATGACACATAAAAGCTAGGGTATCTTGGACAAACTTCAGCCTAAAAGCTATCCCAGACTCATTATCCCACTGAAGCAACTGCTTTTCAAAGGAAATATGCTAAACCATACCAGATCAGACCTTTCTCATTCCTTATTCCCTGAAATGTTTCTACACAGAGCTTGAGCTTGAACTCTATGCACTTTCTGCCACATTCTTGTGCTGTGGACTATTAAACAGCTTCCGTATCTCTCTGGAGATGTGAACACCTAGCTCTAGTATAAGTGAAGTTTGTAAATGCTTGAGGGTGGCATGTTCTACATAAATGGGAGATATTGTCCTTACTTAGCAGTGTGGGAAGCCGTCAAAAGCTGAAACAGCCTTGCCCACAAAATACGGGCAAGCTCGTAGAGAAATCTGCAGCTCACTGTTTGCATCCAAGTTTGCAAAAAACTAATAAATATTTGATTCACTGGAGTTTAGAGCTCCTCAGATGCATTCATGTATTAGGCCCATCTCCAGTCCTTTGCTGGATGCTAGAGGTGTTAGGTTAGGGAATTTCTGCTTAACCTATAAATCTACATATATTATATATATATATCTATATAAAAAAAAAAACTCCCATAGATGGAAAGGAACACAATTTTTCTTTCCAAATGAATCAATAAATATAATTTTATGTGTTTAAAGTCAAAGGGTATTTTGATTAGTTAGATGAAAACACAAAGACTATTTCTAGATTCTCTTCAGACCCTCTGTTTAACCAGTCTATGTAGCAATGCTTGGCCTGCAGCACTTCTATTTTTAGCTCTAATGGAACAGTCTTAAATTGCTTATTTTCTGTTTACTAAAGTCATTGAGCTAGTTACCATGGAAACTGTGGCAAGTGCCACGGCTTAACTGTTTTATTAAATGGATTGAAGGTACAAAAAGGTGCAAAACTTGAAAGGCCGGCGTGTCAATTTTATACATTTATATATTGCCATATATATATCACATTATAGCAAGTCCTACATTAAATATTAGAAGCCAGAATCTGATCTTGGTTGTAATGATATAAATTTTTACCATCTCTCTCCTCAATGGCAAATAACAATTTATTCTCATGTAAGCCAGATCAGGATCTGTTTTTGTCAAATTGTGCTGCCTGTCAGGTTTCAGTGATTACTGCATTTGAATGAATAAATTGCAGATGATGTACACGAAAGCAGTCCCCAGCTATCATGGAAAGACACCCTCTCGCAGTTGTGTTTGCATAAAGCTTTTAGCACATTATTATCTTATCGCTTACAGCAATTACATTATTTTTGGAATCACTATATTTTGCTAGTTTAAAAGAGGGATTTAGATGAAATCTAATGACCTTGTCAAATGAAACTTCTTTAAAAGAGAGTTACTCTGGAAGCATTAACACAAAACACATTCCTTAAATGTCTAATTAGGCAGTTGAACAAAAGCACCCTGAGTATCAGAGATGTTAAAAATTACATCTTCTGTTCACTTCAGTCTAAGCTGGGTTTGCTCCACTTCACTGGAAACTAGGCTGCGTCTAACTTCGTGCTTCAACCCATGTATAGCGCAGCTTAAATACTCTTGAAAGTTATTCAGAACTATTACCACATCAACATAGAGATTTTGGGGGGAGAATAGAAAGCCCTGTACGATCTGATAATTAACAAATATTTTTTAAATGGAAACCAAAATATTTTACAACCCCCAAAGGAATGAGAGCTAAAATAAGACTATTGACATATTTACCCATAAATACTTAATGAATGATTCATCCTGTTGTAATAGCACCAAAAGCTTGAAGAATGTTTGACATTTAGAAGAATGGTCTTCCGCTGTCTTCACTAGCATTGAAGTTGGAACAGTTTTTAGCATCGCTGCTTTTGGTGCTAAATGCCGCCGTACTGTGAGTCTGCCTATACAGCTACTTCCAGTAAATAAAAACCAAAGAGCAAAACAGGCATTTTAAAGGAGAGATCTTTGGGATGATGTAATAATCTAAACAAACAAACAAACAAAAATCCATATTGAAAGAGGAATTTCTCCCTATGAAAATTTTCCTCTTCGAATGAAAAAATACTATGTGACCAATATTCAATAATTAAATTAAAAGCAATACTCAGAAGCCTCAGTTGGTATAACTAAAATTACTAGCGCAAAAAAAACCAGTGAGGTTTCCTTTCACTTACGTATTTTTCTTTTCTTTCACCTTCTGCAGGATCTACCTTCATTTGCAACACCCACGTAATCCCAGTGAAAAATCAAGAGGGAGTAGCGATGATGTTTATTATTAACTTTGAGTATGTAACAGATGAAGAGAACGCTGCCTCTCCTGAGAAGTGCAACCCAATGCTGCCGTCCAAACTTGTAAATCGTAAGTTACTCATTGAAAATTCACTGTTTACCTCTGCTCCTAGCTGAGAGTGCAACTAACCTGTGCAACAGCAATACAAAAGTAATGACAGACTTCACATTGCCTGCCTTGTTTAAGGTAGAAATCAAAACAATAGGAAGTGAAATGCAGCAAACCTGCTATAAAGGCAGGCAAGAGAATCCGTCAGGTCTTTGGTAGCACTAACACCATGGGTTTTGTGAGTACTGTTTTCCTACTAGAAAATATAGAATACAAATTCAATGAAGGGAGAACATTTCATAAAAGTGCATTGCTCTTGACAAAACTGCGAAAAAAGGCCAAAGTATAGCCAAAATACTACATCCTAACCTACTCAAAATTTCTATTTCTATTTTCCTTTACAAATAAAATATGCAGGGTAGAGATTTTCATTGAACTAGATTAGAAAATATAAAACAAGTAAAAAAGAATTAATGTAAAATTAAATATCTTGATTTTAAACTAACTAAAGTATTTGAATTGGGTTGATTTTTTGGGGGTGGGGAGGGGAAGGCATTATGAAAGAAATACTTTTGTTTTCATTTTACTCTGGACATGACAATTGTCAAAATCGGAAAGGAAAAACTCCACCTCTTACACAGCTGGGCTGTGTAGTTTTCCATCCCACTGTCTGCAGAAAACACGCTCCTTTGCTGACCTTCACTCTGTGCCATCACTGCACATGATCCTTCTGCTTTGCATCTCCACTCACATTATCTGCTCTTAATTCAAGATTTCCCAGAACACTTCCCATTTGCACAGGCTCTTAGTCAAGCACAGCAGGCTCTAGCTGTGAATGCTAACACTCTCCCCAGGGCCTGGCTGGCTCAGCAACAGTTGGAAAATGCCTTTTAGCGCTGAAATAATCTGCACTGTTAGCATGATAAAGGGACCGGGAACCTAAGTTTTCTGATTGTCAAATCATCACCTCAACTTTCTCTAGACAAGAGACAAAGATGTTCACTGCAAGAACCCAGGGGAAAACTTCCCCAATGTAAACACTGAATTCTACTATAAGAGATAATAGCCGGTAGTAGTTTTTCTGCTGCATATATTGAAAAGTTTGCAAGGAGGAGGCCTGCAGCTGTGCAGAATAATGTTGCCCAGTTCCTCTGCTTAAAGTACACTCTATGTCATAAAATTGTGTTTAGATGTGGAAAATAAATAAAATTGCTCCGTTGGTCCATGTTTAATATGATGCTAGTGACCAAATACATGATAAATTCCCTACCCCAAAAAGCTGCATGTCCTAAAACCTGTATCACATACAACATCATCATACAAGTGTACATGATCATACACTTGCCGATATTATCACTTGCCATATTTTGAAGAAAAAAGCTACTAAAAAGGACATCCACAAAAAAAAAGAATTTAGTCAAAATAGTCTTCTCTCTCTTTTTTGGTTTTTTTTTGAACAGTAGTTGTGCTTACCATGCACAGGGAATTTCCTTTTTAAGAGGTCATGAACAGATAATCCCACAGATAGGGCTCCAATCTCAGCACATAATTGAGAAAGATGAAAGAGCAAAAGGAAGGCAAGCAAGGTGACAAACCATTTTCCTGATAGTGCACTCAGTCAGGTACCAGAAAGTGTCATAAGCTGGAGCAAACACACGACTTCTTTTCTACCTATGTGATTGTGGACTCCAAGCAGACTTTTACATGGGCAGGATTGAGGAGCAGGATGGGGATATAAAATCTGGTGCACAGTTAAAAAATCTTCTTGGCAGAGAGGCCAACCTGTGCCAAAAATGTTGTGTGCAGGCTAATGGTGGACTTGAATCCAAAAAAAAAAAAAAAAAAAAAAAAGGGCTGATATTTAGAAAAGGCAGAGATCAGAAAGGCACAAAAAAAGATCTGTCATTTCTCAGCAAAAAAATCTGTTTTAAAATGTAGCCATGTTACCATAAGAAGGGCAAACTGCAGATTGTCTGGGAAAAGGTTCATTTTTCAGCATCTTTCTCTATTTGGAACATACAGCATCCAGTAAAACAAGTGACTGGTTTTGAATGGATTACACAAGAAATGGACAAAAATGGATACTGGTTCAGGAAAAAAAAAAAGAAAAAAAAAGGCAACAAAACACAACCCCTTCAAATCCAGCAACCAATTTAGAGAATAAAAATAGAGCGGGAGCCAGGCCTATAACAAGTGCAATACATCTCTGACAAGCAACCAAGATAAGGACCAGCTAATGAAAAAAGACAGAAGATTTCAGATTGCATTAACATCTACTACCCAGAAGTACACAGATCATGAGAGGTTTCTTTCCAGTATTCCTTAGATTGAGTTTTCTCATGTTAGAATGTCTTTTCAACATGAAAGCAGATAAAAATGACTGAGTAAGGTCGCAGAGGAAATGAGCTTAGAGGTGAATGGGAAACAAAAGGATCACAGTTATTTTCCTGATCCCAGGAAATAAGATAAGAACTCTCCCATACTATCATTCTGCCTCTGATTGAGTTATTAAGACTTGGCATGAAATTTATCAAGTGTGATTTTGAGAAAGCTTTCCTTCCCTGAAAACATCTATCTTGCCAGCTACAGTCAACAGTTTTAAACGGCTTACCATGCTGCTGAAACCCAATGCTGCAAGAAAAATGCATGTTTCTTATTTTACACACAGTGCAGTCTGTTTTCAAAGGCTCTAACACAGAGAAAAGTAATTCCAATCTTTTAAAGGGTTGTAGATCCTTTTTGACAAATTAAAGACGTGGAAAGCAAGTAACACCGGCTAGAGTGAACTAAGATATTGTGTTTAGTCCTGAATAGATATAAATTTAAAAATTTACCAAATGAATGTTGGCAGATACTTTAAACAGTATTTGCAAGCTCTTTAGGACAGGGATCCTGTATTTTGCTAAATGACATCATGGTGCCTAACACAACTAGGTTCTTGTTCACCATTGGACCTGGCATATTACAGCAGTAACTCATTACAGAAAAAAAAATATGATATATTTCCAGGAGTTTAATGGCCACATCTAGGTATAAATAGAATTCTTTCCAGACTGGTGTTCAAGAGCTCTTATATGCAGCAAAATGTTGAATAGGCAGTAACGTGAAAAGTGAAGATACTGGCTGTACAACAGCAGTGAGGAAAAACAAAAAAATGTTTTCAGTTGATCTTTTTGTTCTCCTTATTCTTCCTTGCAAGAATTTATCATCAATTCTCTATAGTAGTCTGACCAGCATTTGTGTAAAGGAATAGCTAAATTTTGGAAAAGCCTACTATGTACCAACTCAGTAAAAATCACAGCCAGCTGATTTTCATTCTTTTCTATTTCATTGGTTTGGTATTTTATCACAATTCCATTTTTTTTCAATTTACTATTCAATCATTCTTTTTTATTTTTTTGCCTCATTTCAAAATATAAACATTTTCTTTCAAGTCTGCTTTTGAGAAGCCTGTTTGTTCTTCATATTATTTTCCATTAGATCATTTAAAAGATATAATTGCAGAAATTATATAATTCCAGAAAGTAACTTCTGTCTCCAAAAAGGAAAACACCTAATAACCTTACTTTGCTTCACTTTCTGTGTCTGTGATTGATGATTGATTGATGATATAAATACATTCTTGTCGAGTCTTGAGATATTTGTTCAGCGTGTTAGTGTTAAGATCAAAAGTTTTGACCTACATAAGCCCTAAGAATTGTTATTATTTGCACTGTAACAGTTCGATCTCAAGGGCTCTTCCCCATCACATCTCTAAAGAAGTGAACAATATTTGCTTGATTGTCAGTAGGATGATGAAAATGATTCCCAGAAGCATCCATAAATTTTGATGAATCTAACCATTTGGCAAAGTTATGTAAACTTTTCAGGTCTAATTGAAATAATATAGGAGGATATTTGCACTTGCTTATAGAGAAAGAGAAGTCTTTCCTCTTAAATTCTTTATTTAAAAGAAAAAAAAAAAGAGCTTTCTCTAGAGTGCCTACCTGAATGCTTAGCAAAAAGACCATGTGAATGTTTTTACCTTATAATTCACCTACTAGTGATAGTTGTTATGCAAAATAAACCAGAATGCCTGTAGAGTGCGCTGTACAAACTTCATTGAACTATTTTAAGATAAATTCTTATGCTAGTTTAACTTCTGTAAATTAATACGGATTTTAAATCAGCCACTGAGGAAAGCAACTGTAAATATCCAACTGTATCCCCCAAACTGTCAAACATTCCAGTTCCACCATATTCCCACTCCCCCTAACCTACTGAGATTCTTTTGCAGAAATTAAACAAGCAGCCATGTGAACTAAAATCTGTTCCTGGTGTCTGATTCTGTTCTTCAAAGCTGTGGAATATTTTGTGTCCTTAAAGTCAGTCTTGTAACAGGAAAATATCAAAATCAATCATGACACAGAATGGACATAGAGAAAATCTGCAGCAATTCTATACTGACAGAAAACCATATATCTGAGGATAAGATACTAAATACAAAAAATAGAGCAATAATTCTTCCACTGTAAATAGAGCAGTTGTGGGACCGCAATGTACACACATGCACAAGATGATCAAAAGCTCTCAGAATTTTGTTGTCTTCATTTCCTGCCCCTTTATAGCATGTTTCTTTTTTAAAGCCATTGAATCATAACTTAAAGACAAAGGAAAGAATTATAGTGACCTATAATTGCCTTTTTTTTTCTGACGTAACCCAGATCTATCTAAAACAAAATTCTTATTAATATATGGGTTATGATTGCTGAAGTCAGATGGGGTCACAAATTTTACTCATGTAACTTCAAAACAATCTGACCAGCTACAAATACCAGCCTGCAAACTGACACTGGATCCCAAGCACAGTGTTCATTCCTCATGGGAAAAGCCCTAGGAAAGTTTTGCAAAGGAGCGATATTTGGGGATTCATTTTTCATTTTATCACTTTAAATCTATGAATATATTACAATTGGCTGGATTTTTTTCCTCCTCTAAAATAAATATATGATTTTTTTCAGATGTTAATGTAAAATTATTTCCTTGCAGGTGGTATCATTTCACAGATTTTTTTTTTTAAATTGTAATGTTTTCTTTAATTCATGATTGTCAGGATATTTCTCTCCATTCTCACATATGGAATTTTATGATTTAAAATATCTTTTCAACTAAAGTGAGAGGATCTTTTATACATCCTATTTCCTATTCAAGGAAAATGAGAGGACTTATAATATTCTAAAAAGAGCTACAACCATGATCAGTTATAACTTTGTATAAGGGAGATTCTTAAAGCAGCCAACACTTCACAAAGCTTTTCTTGATTCTTGACTGGCAACGGCGTTACATCTCACAAGCACAGCTCACTGCATTCAGTGCAGTTACAAACATAACAAAGTTCATTTGTTCCTTTTATTTAGATCAAATAACACAATAACTGCATTTGTTTTCCTGCATGAAGAGTACTTTGCTATATATTTATAACATTTTTGTGATAGGTAAGCATTAACTACTTGTATTTTTCCTTAGACTAGCTGGACAGCAAAGCTGCCATGCAGTATGCAAACAGCGTGCAAATTTACTACCTAACATGGCACATACAACCAATAGTAACTCTCTGACTTTGCCCAAAACATAATGAGAAATTTGCCCAGGGTCTTATTTTTAGTTTCACCACTGGGAGCAAATTCATCATAAGCGAGGCTTAGTCGAGAAAAGTTGTGTCCAGGAGGACAAAGGTTTCCATCTAGCCAGCGAGCAGCAGTCACGACAACCCCAGTGTCAATATGTGTCTCTGTCTCCGAGGTAAATTAGAGTGAACGGTAGATGAACCCGTGAGACAGTGTTGAACTCTTAGCAGAGGAGCACAGCCAAACAGCAATCAGCAATAAAAGAAGAAGATGATCTTTGGTGCCTTCACTTTCAGCACGCTCCACAAATGTTTAACTGCCTCATTAAGAGGGCATTCACTAAAACAAATAAATCCTTCTACTTTTCTTTCATAGATGGAGAAATACAAGCAGGATGGGTAATTTACTTTTTTCTTCACAAGTTACTGGGAGGACTCACAAGAGAAATTTTACTGGATTCCAGCCACTGTAATTAGCTGCTTGTGATCCTAGCTGTGGTGTCTCCCCAGCTAAGATCACAGCCCTATTGTGCTAAAATTTGTACAAACATTCAATAATAATAATAATAATAATAATAATAATAAAAGGCAATCTCTGCTTAAAGAGATTACCAGCCAAGCAGAGAAAATGACCCAGGTGGATGTAGCTTTCAGTGGAGGGACGCCCGCAGACTCAATGACAGGAAAAGGAATACAACTTGACAGTACACTAGCTATGCAGAGACCCTGCAAATTTTCCTTTTGTTATTTAAATAAATAGCAAGTGAGCATGAAAAAAAATCTTGGACGAAACTACAGGAGTTCTCTTCTAGTCCTACCTTTTATTCATTTATTACTTCAAAAGTGGTGGGTTCTGTGAAGCAATTTGAAGGCCAGGATAGTGATTTTTGTGAAGTCATTCCAAATTTTAACGCATACCCTCAGGAAAGTATAAGGGCAGTCAATTTTGCAGCACACACTGTTGGAATTCTTCAGTATTTTAAGTCCCTATATCTGAGGAATAGCTCATATATTTGTCTCTATTATTCAAATAATCACGCAGAAAGCTTAACACATCTGTTGAATTAGAGATTTTAATCTTAAAAAAAAAGAAAGTAAAACTTAAATCTATCAAGATATCTCAAGTTTATACTAAGAGGACTGTAGTAGATAGCAGTGAAACCTCCATCTCACCCAGATGCGTTCTGAAAGCTTTTGAATGGACACTGGTCATAAGGAATATGGTTTGTTTATGCAGTTCAACATGGAAGAGACATGACTGTCACAAACAAAAGTAAACCCATTGATGAGATAAAGGGTGTTATTACCACTGTGTCTTATTTCTCAGGTGTGAAATCCTATGATTATTACCTATGTTAAGGAGTGCAGTAAAGAGGCAAGTGAGGCATTTAATAGACTTGAAAGCATTTAGCACAGGCATGTAGTCAAAGGAGTTCTTCCCTTGAGCAGATGAAATAAGTGAGCCGTAACAGAGGTCTGCTACTTCTCCGAGGACACACTGTAAGCAAATGTCGGCGGACAAAGCCTAATCTCCCTATGGAGATTATGGATTATTCAGTATTTCAAAATCAAAAGTTTCTTCCAACCCAAATTTACATTTGCCACCATAGAAATGTTCGCTAAGAAATTTCATGAGAAACAACACATTAGTCTGATTATAGCTACTTCAGTTTACTTTCAGTTTTCTGTCTGAAATATTAGTCAATAGGAAAACTTGGTAATTGGAAATATATTTTGATCTATGCAGCAAATTAGTATTTATCAAAGTACTTCTTAATGGAATAGTTAAATTTTCCAAAAGCGGCAGTAATATACATTTTAGAATAATTTTACTGCAAATCACCAATTGAATATGAATTAAAATAACTTGAATTTGCTTTTAAAATGTGTTGCAATTTGATATTCTTTCTTCTTTTCTTAACAGTCTCTGTTTATTTTCTGAATCTGTTTTATTTTAAACTAAAGCTTTTTGTAAATCTAGTTTAATTGTATTTCAGATGGTAACAACCTTTCAAGTGGCTCTTCTTCAGGTAAATCTATCTTCTAAAATTCTATCTGCTAAAATCCTTCTATTGCTTTACTTTGTTTCTATTATTTCAAGATCTCATTACATTTTATATAATTCTAGCATATAAGTCAAAATATGGCTATTTCACTCCCTGAATACTCATTTCTACAAAACTACAGATATAACAGCTAAGCTATTAAATTGAATATAATTATGAAAGATATAAAATCCAAATGTAGTGGTACTTTTCAGCTTATTATTGCTAAAAGTTCTTGTATGCAGGGCATAAAAATCTCTATCAATATACGAGACAAAACTGTGGAATTTGGTATTGATATATAAATTAGCTGTTGAAAAATAAAAAGAACGTGTTCAGATTTTCTATCACAGACAAAAACAATATTATCTTATCTATTAAGTCTGGCAACCAAGGTGGTCTGAGGCAAGCATTTCTTGAGAACTTGATTTAATAGACGGACTGCTTTTTTCCCCTACAGCTACAAGGGCAAACACCATATTTTCAGCAAGACAGCAAATATTGTGCCAGCTGAATAATACTTTCAATATAATATGTACTGTGCTAATATAATATGCTTGCTGTTTTGTTTAATTGCAGATATTTCCTCTTTCCTTACATTCAATTATGTCAAAAGAATAAAAATGTAAGAAGCAAAATCTCTCTCAAAGAGGACCAAAAATTCATCTTTTCCCCACGTTCTTAATCGAATAGTTAAATTTTCCAAATAAGAAGACAATGTACTTTTAGAATAATTTTACTACAGAACAAAATACTTATAACTTTATTATAAAAAAATAAACCAGGAACAAGTTTTGACAGTTCCTACATCTTACTCAACTGATCCTGTGCAAATGTTTCATTGTCTCCAAGTTCCTCTCATTCGATGTCTAAAGCTACAAGAAAGTCTAATAGAGTCACTCTAATAAATCCAAATAAGAAGCCTGAGACCAGCTACCATTTCTTTTCCTTTTGACTTGTTTGAAGTCAGCTTTTTCTTTTTTCTTTTGTCTGCAACATCATAAAAGTAACGGCACTACTAAAGGTAGTGTAAAAACTGGCTGAACACCTCTTTTCAAGAGTCATCCCGACCTCCCCGCTGAAATCTCAGGGCTCCTCTTCTTCAGTGCTCAGGGAAATTTAAGAATCAAAACGGTACCTCATGCATGGAGAGGAACTAAATAGGCTTGCGGGATAATGCACAGCATTCACTCTAGTGCCTTTGGACATTGAAATAGAACTGAAGATCCCTCAGTCCCAGGTCTCTCTCTGACTTTGCTGCAGTGTTTGATAAGTAAGCAAGCATTATCACCAAGTCTGAGGAATAACTTCACTATGAGCAGGCAATATTGAGGCCAAATATCATTTCCCTTCATTGTTACCAAGTGCTTCCTTGGAAGGGATTGATGAAGTACTTTCCTCTCAAGCAGATTGGATTATTAAGGAAGTTCTTGTTCAGATATGCTTTTGCTGGCATACCTCATTTCAAAATGAAATTTGTATTTATGAGGGAGTGAATTTACAACCATACTTTAAATTGGTAATAAAGTCTTTTTGGAATCAGTTTTGTTTTTTTTACCTTGGACAAATTTCTATATAATGGTGCTTAACTTTTAAAAATTGAACTTTTCCATTACTGTGAATGTTTTGCATTTGGCACTTTTATGTAAAAGCAAGGCTATTAAGTTTTCAGATCAAGAGAGTAAAATGAACGAAAAATACATATATAAATAAATCCATTTAAAACCTATATTTTAGTTCTAATTGTTTACAGTAAAATACTGTAGAGTTGCTTTTGCCCTAACCTGAGAACAATTTAAAAAATAGCATGGTCTTTGGGCAGAAAACTGATATTTCAGCTACTTCTAGGCATAAAAGATCATACAAAAATATTTAAATGTATTAAGCTTGTCTTTTAGCAACATGAAAGCAGATATTTTCTAGATTTTTTTCCACACATTCTTGTTTCATTCTTAAGACTATAGATATTTCACATTTTCTATCTAGGACTGTGGAGAACTCTGCCCCTCTAAGGGCTTCTGCTTCCTACCAAAAAATAAATAATAAAAATTAAAAAAAAAAAAATCATGACAGCCTATGACTATAAAACACTTTTATGTCAAAGGAACTTAATTAAAGCTTCACTGAATTCTAAACATCATAAGATCTTCCCAAATACGCAACAGGAATAAAAAGAAAAAAGCTCTCAGAAAGCAAAAGTTTATTTAAATTTAGTACTTATGCGTTAACTACATCAGCCACCCATTTAGATGGATCATTTGTTATCTGAGGTGCAAGTATTTTGGGGTTGAACTCTACAATTTAGAAGGTCTAAAGATTAGCAGAGATAGCAGAGAGAATAAATAACTCATTTGTAAATTAGCTATTCAGTGAAGGAAGGTTTGAAAGGAGAAGGTGGCAGGCGAGCCTGCAATGGTGACTCAGGAATTCGACCCCTTTCCTGAACTGCTCTTCACATGCCACAGTTATACATACCTGTGACTCAGAATTAAGAAGAATCTAGCAATCTAGTCTCTAGGGTCAACAAAACATATAGATTCAAATGTAATATTATCTGTATGTTTATATAAAATTAAATGATAGCTAGTTACATCTAAAAAAAAAAAATTACAGTATTTAGTATTATAAGCCAAGATAAACCTGTTCTGACATCATACCTACCTAAAGCAGGGGCTGTACCGTTTCAAACATATTTCACTCCAAGGAAGTTTCCACTGCCCCATCTAGTCTATATTAGGACATCTGGCCTAGGGCTATAAATTTTAGTTCACACCAAATTGTATCACTGAGCCAAACAAGAAGGTGTGATGTAAATTAGATAAATTCTGAATGGTGCTTCTCATGGCTTTAGCTGCAGTACTGTGGAAAAGTGCTGAATGTCCAACACATCGTATGGCTCATTATCTATACAGTGAATAGCAAGCACAATACTCCCTACTAAAGAATATTCAAGTTAAAAGCAGGAAATAGGAAATTTAACTTTGAGAGCATTTCTTTCCAAAAGCAAAAAGATAATTTTATGTTTTCTATTTCATGCCTGAAGTTCTTAGCAAGAAGCAAAATTGTCACTGTGTTTCCAGCTGAACTGCAGTTAGACAGCTAAATCACTAATGCAGGATAACGTGGTCATATTAACTTAGTGAAGCAGAAAAGACCATCTGCACTACCATGAATATGACTAAAACAGAGTGCCAGCAAAACACCTTTAACAGTGTCTAATGCCAGACAACGTTATGAATGGTTTTAAAGCAGGGCATGTAATTGATGAAAAATGATATATAGTAATTTCCTGACCTTTGATGCAATAAGCTGTAAAACTGATTTATAAACTGCTTTATAACTCAATTTCATGTACATTTAAAAATAATAGAGTGATTTTTATCTATTTCACTAATTTCAACCACAATTTGTCCAAGTATACGTACATAAGATGTTAGAAGAAATACGCATACTCTCAAGGTATTGTCTATTGAATATCACTGAATATATTAAAAACTGGCACCTCTATTTGCTGTATCTAACAGGTGTGGCTACTGTTTTGTATAATAGGGTTTATGTCTACTGTACTCTTGTAGTGTATATGAATTATACTAATAGACCTTGTGAAAACTTTGTTAAATTTCAAATATATAGCACTGAATCTATCACTGAAATTGCCAAGGAATAACAAGGAAGATTGTTACATGGATTCACTTTTTAAAGCAAAGAAGGAAATGGATTGGGCCAAATTCCACAATATTGAGATTTTTTTTCTGCAAATACATTAATATATGAAAATATATTAAAAAACAAGGTTGCAAATATTTAGATGTGGAAGTCTAACAAGAGACATTCAGAATATATGAGATTCATATAAATATCCCATAGATTGGCAATTGAAAAAATATCAAATGAAAATTCTTAACAACAGAATAATAGAGTCTAAACTCTGAAAGGGTCTGAGATCAAAACAAAAAAGCCAATATGTCACTGCACAAAACCCTGACACTGAGATTAGTTTAGGCCACTATCAAAATGATTTATATTAGAAATGAAAAAGAATCGAGAAGAGTGAGAAGGATTATCAGAAATATGCAATACTTTTCATATGATATATAATTACACTACCTTTCTTCAGCTTGGAAAAAAAGAGATTATCAAAGAGAGATATTACAGAAGTATGAAAAAATATAATTATATTTGAGATTAAAAGGGAACAATTATTCACTTTTTATCACACCATTAAGAATTAGATCCACTGAATTAAATTATCAGGCAACAGATTTATAGCAAACAGAAGTGCTTTTTCAAAGGCATACGTAAGTTATAGGACAACTACTATAGGATGCTTTGCAGATCAAAGTACAACTCGGTTTCTAAAGAACTGAAGCAAATTAATAGAAGAAAGGCCCACCAAAAATTATTAAACTAATTGTTTGAACGCGATCTCTCTGGTTCAAAATGCTTCTGCACTGCAGACTGCCAGAAAGTGAACAAGTGACTTCAAGAAAAATATCACTCCACAGCAGTTCTTCAGCTCCTTGTCCCTGTATGCGCTACTGGAAAATATCAGAGATCAAACAATGTGCAAGATGGATTTGTGGTATTGTCTAGAATAGCAACTTCTCAAATTGCTTTTCCTTTAAGAAGAGGAGGGCATTCTCACTTTATTTAGAATACCAAACAAATACAGCTCTGATGATTAAGCACATATATCTTAAATGTTAAGCTCTAGCATCAGTTGCTCTGTACCAACTACTTTGTATAGGCATCAATGAAAGACTATTTTAACATATTTCAGTACATTGCCACATGATGAGAGCATGAGACAATAAATCTGAATGCCAAATATTAATAAACATTAGCTAGCTACATACACTGGTAATTAAGAATGACAGAATAAATACCTCTGATCCCAAAGGCAATTTCTTCTCCTAGTAAGAAGGAATAACTGGACACATCCTGAAATCTGAAAATCATTGTTGCTACTGACTGCGCAAAATGCTTATGAAGCAAAGTGTGACACTGACATGATCCACTGATCATTATTTCAATTTAGTAGTGGAGAGAATTTCTTTTTCTAAGTAGTCTACTGTGTTTTCTGTACATCAGAGGCACCTATGCTTCCATCTGTGAAATGTGTTATTACAGAACACTGAAAATATTGGCTGCCGGAGGTTTTGGTTGGTTCATTGGTTGTTTTTTCAGGTGTATGACCTCTAGACTTCACAATTCTTTCCCTGTATTTTCTTTATTTATACTATATTTTTCAATTTTTCCTCTAAGCTAATGGGATTTATCATCATACAAAACTGTCCATCTTCCAATACCCGTTGAAGAGCCAACCCTACCATTCAATACATCAAGCCAAATTAATTCCATACATACATAAATGCAGAAAAGAATCACTTTGTATGTGTGCAAAGATGTAGATTCTGTTTTATTATTGTTTTTGTTTGTTTTTTGTTTGTTTTAAATGCAACCAAAATAAGTGTCTCATTTCAATGCAAAACAAATGTTGGAAGATACCTCAGTAAAAGTGATACACAGCTTCAGTTCTCTCCTTTGAATGATTGCAACTCATACCTTCCTGTTTGATTTGTAATCCACAAATCAATTCCACTGAAGTGGTAGCAGTAGGTCTTTAAGCACATCGAGTTCCATTGATTAAAAAAAATTATCTATAGATAGCTACTTAAGCATATAGTTGCCATGAAAAGTATTTCTGCACTTTGTAGCACTCTTTTAGATGCATAATTTTAAAACCAAATAGGACAACTAGATTTTGGATAATCTTATCTCTTTTAAAACACAGGCTATAGAATTCATGCTGTTAGTCCAATTCCAAGCTCAATAGCTCATGCTTGACTGAAGTATGAAATCCTCCAAGATGCCTATAAGAGACCTACACATATATAAGAGCTCTAGAGTTGAACATTCCATTGCTAAAGAGTACATTTTATTAGGCATAGCTGTTTAAAGCTGTTATTTTGCACATGAAAAAAAGAAATGGTTTTATGACAATGAACTAATGTATAGGCTAATAAACAAACTAATGTACTACTTTTTTTTTTCCCCTCTTTCAGGCAGACTTTTTGGGTTTAGGTTGCCTGGGTTGAGGCTCTTAACATACAGAAAGCAGTCCTTACCGCAGGAAGATCCTGACGCAGTGATAGTAGATTCATCTAAGCACAGCGATGACTCAGTGGCTATGAAGCACTTTAAATCACCTACAAAAGAGAGTGTTAGTCCTTCAGAAGCGGATGACACGAAAGCACTGATTCAACCCAGCAAATGTTCTCCTTTGGTTAATATATCAGGACCTCTTGACCACTCATCACCCAAACAGCAATGGGACAGACTCTATTCCGACAGGATACAGACAAGCAATCCACTAACCCATTCGAGATCGAAGGAAAGCCTTTGTAGTATACGGAGAGCATCTTCAGTACATGATATAGAAGGCTTTACTGTCCATCCCAAGAGCATTTTTAGGGACCGTCATGCGAGCGAAGGTATGGTGGAAAGTCAGTCTGTATTCACTGATGTACTAAGAAAAGGATATTGTGCATTTTCATAGAAATTATCATAATTTTGTAAGTAAAACTCAATGTAATCAACTATATATATATATATTAGAACCATATACATAGAACCATAATTCAAAAGTCATACTACAAACATCAAAATGACAGGCTTACTCAATCCAAACACTGCTTTTCATGTCTAGGTAGTCACTGGAATCAAGGGACAGCTTCTAGACTAACATCTGCCTTCTGTGACCTTTCATGCTGCAAAATTCACAACCAAAGACTGCTTAAAACTTGATACATTTCTCATTCCGTTCTTACTTATTGATCCTAAGAATTCTGATGTTTCTCACAATTCCACTGAAAAGAAATACATTATTCTGACTGAAAATGCAATGGGAGATTCAGATCTAATAACAATAACAATTCCATATAATCATAATCAAAGAACCAGAACTAAATTCTAATAGCACAAGGGAACAGCATTATTTAGTTCAGTGCTCCTACACTAATCCAGACAGGGTCAAATGTGTTTTTCAAGAAGATAAGACTATCGAGAATGTAAGTGGTTTCATATGCTGTATTAGTTTTATAAGCCCTAGTTGCCTATCACCGTGTGCTTTAAAATTGCCACATTTATACCTAGTGTTAGTTGTATGCTGAAAGATACGGCACTGGAAATTTCAATTTAGGATTTATTAGGTTCTTTTGTGTTTAATTCATTGAATTCTCTCCTGAATGTTTTAGATTTCACAGCAGAGGGAATAGGGCAGGAGCAGCGCCCAAAACCAAGCCCAGCATTTTCCACCCCAAAGACAGCAGCAGTCTCCATTTTGCAGGCAGGTTTAGGCACATGGACACACTTTGGGAATTTTATTTTCTTCAGAAGTTGCCCTCCATGATATCTCCTTAGTGTTTTTAAAATTGTCACATCTTTGATCCCAGCCTGCAAAGTCCACACTCCTGCCCAGACAGCGGGAAAGAGGATGGCCGCCATCAGCCCTGACCAGGCTGGCGCACCCAAGGCCTCGCCGGCGCCACTCACAAAACCAGGCACCCCTGTCTTTCCCCACTTGCCACCAGGGGCCACAGCTCCTCTGTCCCTCTTTAGGGGGCTTTTCCCTAAAAAAAGGGGGTTTTTTAGGGGGTGGTCAGCAGAGCCACCCCAGCCTGGGATGCACGTGTGGCGAAACATCGCCCGTCAGGGAAGGGAGACACTGTCCCTTACCTCACGCACCGGCACCTCCAAACAGAGGAAGATAAATACAACATAATGTTCATTTCCTGCTTTCCCAAGCACCTACTCCATAACGCACCACTGTGGCACATGGGCCCAGTGGAAAACCTCAATCTTCCTGCAGGGCCTCCCCTGGGCCACAGCAGGGAGTGACCAGTTAGCACCTCATGGGTTAATAGCTTTGACTTGAAACTCAGCACTGGTGCAAACATACATGAAATCTGGACTTGATGAGGAAGGATTTTTGTGTTTTGCTGATAATGCAAGTTAGCTAGAGCCAAAGCTTCCTTTATTACACCATATATTCAAGACAATGCAAAAATATTCTAATTACAACCACATGCACACTTTGAAGCAAAGATTTCCACTTTCTCTGATGTGGATTTTAGTTTCTTTTTTCTCTCTTTTTATTCACTCTTATTATGTGGAAAACCAGACAATGGCCGCAATGCCAAAGGTAAAGTATTTGTGCAGAAGGTACTATCTGGTGTCTCAGCAGCCACACTTTTTGGCATGTTGATTTGCCTGCTGTATGAAATGTTCAAATGCAACATTCTCATGCTGAGCTCATGAGAGCCAAGTTCATTCCCAAACCCGGGACTGTTGGGCACTTAATATCTCCCTTAACGTTTGTCTCAAAGCACTAACTAATGATCCCTGGAAAAAGTGAAGCAATAGCTAAACAGTCATGAAACTTACGGATCTGATAATTAAAAAAAAGGGGGAGGGATAAAGATATTAAACTCAGTGTGGTTGTCTTTAAGCAGGCAAAACTTCTATTGATGCTACCAGGAGTTCTGCCTGTGAACGGGTGTATAATTGGGCCATTAATAAGCAATTCATTGTTATGAATGTTTACTTTTCAGTTAACTAGCAAAAATAAAGTAGTGGGTAAATCAGAAGCCATGTGGAAGTATCTTCACTTATTCCTCTTTTGTCTCCTTAAAACTAGTTTCACGTTCCTGGATGGCAGGGGGTATGGTTTCAAGATTCCTGTAGTATTAAAATGTGCATGCATGAACTTCATTGCCAATTTAATGTTTAAATAATTTCTGGAGCAGCTACTATTTTTATTCACCTGCACAAAGATGGGAAAAATAAAAGAAACTGAGCTGTATTTTTATAATCAATCTGAAAATAAGTCTAAGTGACTTTATTTCTAGAAAAGCTACTTTAAAACATGCTTGGTTTAACTGCAATATTTGTAGTTACATTTGAAAACTGGTTTGTGACTTCATGCATGATGCAAAAAGTGTGTGTACCTGGTAACGTCTTCTCTATGAACTGCATGCAGTGCATGAGCTAGATTCTGTAAAGCAATTCATGGACTATCAAAAAATTGCATTTGCTTCATGTGTATGTCAGCAAAATTGTGAGGGAAAAAAGTCTTTGTTTTGTAAAATAGTTTTTATAAATATGTTTACTGCTGGTGAAGATGATCAATTGACAGCTCAGGACAGTGAAATCATTTCTTGATGCATTGTATAAGCTGGGAAAACAAATTCCTACCATGAACAAGGGGAGATCAAGCTTAACCAAAACAATCTCCTTCATATGGAAGACCAAAGCATGGAATTCTCCCTGCTTATTCAGTTCTCAGCCTCTCTGCTGAAACTGTCAGTCAGGGTGATAACTAGTGTCAGATGTGATTGTGATTTGTTATGGGCCTCTTTTTCTGTTTCTTACTTTGTGAATATAGAAATAGTCCGCTAGTTGTCAAGTAGCAGCTCAAATGCTGTCAGTTTGGGCTGTACTTAAGCTAGTAATGTCTTATAATGAATTATCATTATCAATGAGATACACATATGCCTCTCACCATTCTTTTCAAGCAAAAGAAGGGGAAAAAAAGATATATTCAAAGGTACAATTAACTTGTTGCTGATACCACATGCCAAGGCATGAGTATAGGCAGAGAAGGACCTCCTGTAATAAATGCTTCTCTTACAGAATTAGTTCACTTAGGAATGGAAACATTACAAGAATTAAATTCCAGAAAACCCATTTTCTGTGCAATTTCAGCATCTATAGCTAACATTACTAACTCCATCTCATCATGGATTTGCCTGAACTCCCTTAGAGCTCTCTTAGAGTTCCATAGACAACAAAAACATTGTTCATCTGAGAGAAAGCTCCAGCTTGATTCATAACCAAGCCTGATTGATATCCAGAAACTATGAATTGCTACAACTTTGTAGGGAAATATAGCTTAAAGAATGCATTCTTACCATGCCTAGTACAAACCAGACAGATCTATCATTTCACTAGCTGCAACTGTGATATCTTTTAAAGACCATCTTTTAAAAGTGGGTTGTAAACCTCCACGTAGATAATGAGAAAATGGCTCAGAAAATAGTTTGGCCGAAGATGTTAAAGCACAATATCCCTAAATCTTCTATTATATCCTCTGTATCAGACTTTTTAGTTTCCACATGGAAGAAGAATATTTCTTTCATTCTTTTTCTAGTGAAGCTATTCTACAAAGAAATATCTAGATTAATTAACCTAAGAAAGAAAAGAAAGCATCATTTTGTAGGCTGGTGGCAATAGCACTTACAGTTTTTCTTCTTCCTCTTATATAAAATTAATATTGGACAAAACACAGTAAGGCAGAACCATAGGACTGGTCTATCTTAAGGCAACGTACTGTCTCCTAGACTAGACGATCATGCCACAGAAAGATTGAAACAGGGTAGCAGAAGGTTTCTTTACCAACCCAAATGAAGCTGTAACTAATGTGAATTCAGAAGGTAGAAAGCATAACTATAAATTCTGTTAAACTAGAGAAGGAATTGTAAAAGCCTGCCTCCTCAACAAGCATTCTCAGCCAGATACAACAGAGGCCCAAGCCTCAACCACAACATTTTACAAGGACAGATGAGGCCTTCTTAATTGTGAAAATATAAAACGTAGGTACTGACCTGCACAAACAGCTCTAGGCACCAAATTTCAAATAAAGTTCCTGGAGGTCAAGTTACAGAATTCAGCCCTGAGTCACTATTCTGCATTTCCTAGCAGCTAATTGCATTTGAACTGCATTCGTTTACATGTTGCAGATTCAGGTGTTCCCCCAGAGTTTACCCATAGTCCTAATCCTGTCTCATTCGCTGTTTCAGAACTATAGGACCAGTTCTATTTTCTCTAGAAAATAAAAAAAAAAAAAATACAACTTAGAAGGGGAAAATATATATATATATTTTCCTCATATTTAGGGAATTAGTATACACTAAGGTTCTCATGTGAATCTGAGAAATACCCCTAATTTGCACACTTTAGACAGAATGTTACTGACTGCTAAATCAGAAACTTGTCCTAAATCTGTTACTGGATTTGTATATTGCAGTCTAAACACCTTTGTATATCTTTTTTGCAATATTACTCTCAAAAGCAATTATTTTTTACTAGGAATGTTTTGAGGGGCTTCTGGACCAACCTTATGACAGTGCAAATAACTGTACAATATTGAAAAGAATAATTTGTAATTGATATGTACTTCCTTAATCTCTCTATTGTTTATGTATTGTGGCTCATTAGAGCAATACAATTTGCTTAAGTGTATGTTATATATTTCACCGATCTTCTACATACAAGTAGTTATATTATTTTCAGTATTTTGTTGATAATGACAACTCAACGCCTATTGTGAATTTGTGACTTCAAAATTAATTTACATTGTTTAAATAGGGAGCTACTTGGTCTGTGTCATGAGATAGGATAATTGAAATGAAATGAATTCACCCAACTTTTAAATTTACCAATAACCATTTTTTTGAATTAGGTATCCTATAAACATAAGCAACATTATAAATATGATAAGACAGTCCAGACATTCTAATATAATATTGTATCCTACTTCTACTTTTATAAACAAAATGAGAATATGGTATTTCTATATACTTCTAGTCCATCCAAAATTGTGATGGAGCATGCTTGGGTATGTCAAAACAATTAAGGATGGATGTATTTTGTACTTCTCAATCCTGTGACTCTAAAAAGAATGTTGCACGCTATATGTAAAGGAAATTGCATTTTTACATCCAATAATATATTTAATTTTCAAGAGTAGTAGAATTATTCTTAAAATCTAGGTTGTTTTCACTATTAGTAGGTAGTATAGTGAAAAATATTTTAAGTACATTTTTAACATGTCTCATTTAAACACTAATAACTTCTCTGCATTTGACAAGTACTAAATAGGCATTTCACTTTTTTAGGGCCTTTTAATCATATCAAGTCAAGTCTGTTGGGATCCACATCGGATTCAAATCTCAACAAATACAGTACAATCAACAAAATTCCTCAACTCACCCTGAACTTTTCTGATATCAAAAGTGAAAAAAAATCTTCATCTCCTCCTTCTTCAGACAAAACAATTATTGCACCTAAGGTGAAAGACCGAACGCACAATGTAACAGAGAAGGTTACCCAGGTAAGATGATACCTGTTATGTGAATCACTGTTTAATTTTATGAATCCATTTATCAATGTACAAAATGGACCATGACCTTTTTCATGAATGATCTGGGTATTTCCAAGACAATTTGAATTATTAAAGTTTGAGCTGTTATTTACTTTACCTCCAGTTCAGTTGTAGCTGATATGGCTTACAATATTAGGTGATATTGCTTGACTCATGCTGAAATATGTGTTACATTCCAAAGAGAAGTAAACAATTAGAACTTTCAAGCAATGTATTTTGCAATGAGGAAAAGTTGGACCCGCGACCCAATAAGTCTATTAATTTCAGTGATTACCATCAGTCACTAATGTTATTTAATATATATGAAATGTTATTTGTTTTTTTCCTTTTCTTTATGAAATACTGATTAGTGCAAGGTCCACTATAACCATATTACAAACAATATCTCAATTGTGCCACTGATATGATCATAATTATGTCCTGTAATTTCTGTTCCAGTTCACTGTCTTTTCATAACGTTATTTCCTATGGGTTCCTTTTGTCTATGGATACATCACAGGGCTGTCAAAAAGAGAAGTGGATCCTTCGGGGCTGGTTGTGTGATTGCTTCTGTCATTGTTGGGAATAAGCCATGTAAACACATCAAAAATGTCAATAATTCAGGCTACTCTATAAGCTACTCTATAAGCTACTATAGACTGCTACATTTTGAGTCTATAGCTACTATAGACTGGTAAAGCTTATGCTTGAAATCTGGCTGATGAAGCATAAGTTATTCTTTTCCAGGGGGAAACAGTAAATTTAAAGTCTAGCAAACTGAAATATGAACACCATCAGTTGAATCATACCATTTCTATCTCTGTTTCTTGTGCAGATTGACAGAATGCATTACCCCAGTATAGGTTTGGCAAAACCTTGCTCTCTAGAAAGTCACTGTCTTTCTGGAACAGATATTCCTTGTGCCAGTGTGCTAGCTGGCCCCTGCAGAGATGGGCATAGCTTGTGACCTCTGCAGGGAATGCTCAGGGAGGGTTTTATACTCATTTCTCCTCACCAGATTGTTAGCATAAGGACTTGCCCATGATTTCCTCTGTGTGTAAGCAGTATACATACTGTTTGCATATATGCACTATACATTTTATATACAAGAATAATCAGGAAGGTATAATGTGAGAACACAGTCACCAGAGCCATTCATGTGAACATATAAGTATCTTTGTGCTGTGAATGGCTGTTCTGGATGACCTATGGTGCTTAGGGAACAGAGCTCTCTGAGAATGTAAATGAAAGAGCCAAATCAGTTTTAAGTGTAAGCTAAGCACCAAGCTTCATCAAACCTCATCAGCTTCATCAAGTCTGGAGAGATTCTGAACATACCTAAAGGTTTGATTCCATGTGGACTGGGAATTTGAACGTACAAATAATGTGAAGTATAAATCATGTTATTTGTGTAATTTTTAGAGTATTATATTAGCTAGGCAAAAAAGTGACAGTTTGTATATATGATTGTGATCAATAAATTGTATATATATGGTTGTATGCCTAAATTTCAACTGCATTTTTAGAGGCTTGATCCCAAGAGGTTTTAAGCAAACTACTGAAGACCTTAGACAGACATCCTGTTCATGATTCAGCAAGTGGCTCTCTAGGACCTAGAGAGATTTCATAAGAAAAATTTTGCTGAGAACAGCTTTTCACCTGCTGCTCAACTGCCTTCTGTAGACCAGATTGCTGCCTCTCAACATTACTGCTATGCCAGATAGTTTCCATACTCCTGCTCGTTTTGATAGATATATAAAGCAATGTATTGTACACCCTCCTAGAGAAATAAAGATAAAAGTTGTATCAATTCTATCTTGAGTTAGTGCCTAAAAAGAAATTGGTTTTTTATCTTTCATATCTTTTGTCTTTCATAGCTAACTTGAATTCGCAACCATTGTACTTTCTTCCCTGGTCAGTTGTGAAAGATTTAATCCCTTCTGGATCCATTTTGATATGTTTTAAATTATTCAGAATAGTTATACATAGAAGTCCTTTCCAGAGATAATATGGCAGAAAGTCAAGTTATATTAAAAAGACTCATTTTTATAAGTTATGTAAGCATAAGTCAAGCTTGATTGGTTTTTCAAAATTCTGATGGGCCAATTAGAGCCAAAGTGCCCAATTCCTCTCTACTACTAACTGTGTTATGGGCAAAATGAATAACTTACATTTATTCCCCAGACAACTTAGATGCTATGAAAGGTCAAACAGAAATCATTCAGGTCAGCTGAACCTTCCAGAAACGGTGAAGCTAATTAAATTTAAAATTAATTTTGAAATGCTCTGTAAAATCTTTACACTTCATAAACCACTTCCAATTTAATTTGACTTTGGTTTAGGTCTTTTACCATCTAAAACCAACATACATAATATGACCTAGTAGCAAGCTTTGATATTTCATCCATCATCGTGAATTACCCAAAGGTGTTTTCTTCATTTCCCCCCATGCTTTTCTTTCTTTCTTTTTTTTTTTTTTTTTTTTCAGTTCTCAATGTTTTCACTTATCACTGCAGCCTAAACTGTAGGATCATGTACAAACAAAAATTCCTAGTGGGTATAGATGCAGGTGCTGATGTCTACTGTACTTACTTGCATCTGTCAAAGATCTAGTTAGCTAGCTATTTTTGAATTTCATTAGAAATAAATATAGAAGATGGAAGTGGCTAGAATTTTTGTCCCATTTACATTTTTAATTTCCAGTGACTGCAATAAGTCTTACAAGAGCTGGCACTTGAAAAGTTCCCATGCACATAGCTGATCAAATGATAATACGGTCCATGACTGGATGCATGATTGACTGGAAGATTATGATTTGTTTTCCAGACATGCTGAGTGCCCCCATCACTTCTGAAAGTCAAATTCTGAGTGTAGAGCAAGTCATATATGAAGTGATAAAACGTGTAGTTTCACAACATGTTTTTGTAATTTGGCCAGACTCTATTCTGTCAGCCCCAAAAGATTAGGAAGTAAGTAACAATATCCCCTAAGGCCAGTTTCAGCTGTTGATATAGAAAGAACCATTATATGATCATGACTTCAAACTGACCTTCAGGTTTTCAGGCTAAAAGAAGAGTCTTTAGCAACATCTAGGACAGAAAGGGGCAATACAAGACCTAAAAATAAACCGAATTATTGAGCTATACGTTTTCAGCACTCTGATTTAGCTGACACACTGCACCATTTACAACACCCTACAATAAGTCACACGCAAATGACATTTCAAGGCTATTCATTTTGAAACATGAGCTGACATAAATCAGAAATTCCTGAATTAAGAGGAAATACAATGTTGATACGTCTTCCAATTACACAGAAAGTTGTGCACAGATTGATGAAACTGGGGGAAAGCAGAGCCAGCATTTCACTAGTTACTTTATGAAACAATAATTTATTTGTTTCTGCTTACACAAGAATGTTCTTGTTTCTTACATTTGCTGTTCCTATTTGCAATGACCACTGGACGTGTTTTATACAAGAAGTTTCCCTTTGTATACACGCATACTTAGCAACCTCGTGCAAAAAAAAATTATAATTATAAAATGAGACTTCATAATTACTATTCATGTCATTATAGGAATAGTACAAATCTTTGTAATTCCATTATCATTGAGAAGATGTGACACATCTGTGTGTGAAAAAATAGAGAGAAAAGGAATATCATGGCGATGGAAAAAAAATAATAAAAATACCCCAGTCTCAATATAGCTATTCGCACTGGTGCTAAGATGTCCCCAAATCTGGAGAGCAGTTTCATTTGCACTAGAGAAAGCAGCTCTGCAATATGAATGGAAATGGAAAATATGGCCCATTGCTCATAATTGAATTGTGAAAAATACAGCATTTTTATTTGAATTATTTTCTATCGCATAACATAACAAAATGGCTGATCTAATTATAGACTCAGAGCAGTAGTGAATCATAAAATATTTTCGGAAGGTGATTGCTTCCAGTAGCACCTCTTTTCCTTGTGACAGCTGAATGGCCTAAGACATCTGAACCGCTGCAATGTTTTGAGACAATTTCACAACATATGGTGGAAATGGAGCAGTTGGAAAGCCCAGCTGCTTAGAAGCATGTAACCTGGTTGCATCTTTAATCAGTCCATGTCCTTCCCCAAGATCTACTCTTCTGATAAAGAGACTGCCTGGTCTTGCTTAGTATCTAGTATTCTCTTTAAGTTATAATTTCAAGTAATCAATTCTCATTTAATCTTTTTCATGTTACTGATGTGAACCAAATGCTCAGTGGGCTATACTGTGATGTTAACATAGAATGGACTGTGTAATTTTAATAATATTGCATCCTTTCTCAAAGCAACATTCTTGTCTTGGTGCTAGTATAGGGGGAAAAATAATCCATAAAGCAACGACCAAAGGAATCACAGTCTACCCTTTACACACTCATAGAACCATGCAAAAATGTTGGTTGAGGGGACCTCTAAAGATCTTCTATCCAACCTCCTACTCAAAGCAGCAATAACTTCGAAGGCAGATCAGAGGGTTACCATACTAGCTAGGGTTCTGCGTTAGATTAGCAGAAGGCTGTATTTTCCAAGAGAAAGTCACCCAACAAGGGTGTTTTTCTTGCCTGAGCAGAGGATTTGGGGAAAAAAAAAAAAAATCTTGTTGGGTTTGTTAGAGTTTGAGTTTTCTTTTTTTTCTTAGGATAAGAACCAGTCAGAAAAAGCAGAGACTATTAAACCCACACAGCACAGTATGTTACTTGATAAATTCTGCATGCCTTCAAAATTTACAAGCCAAATGGGGTCATTATTTCCATCAATTAACTGTAATGTGTCAGAACTTGGATAACGCTTTCACATTATAACTGGTAGCAGAATCCATAGAGGAGTGGGGACACAGAATTCCAGTTCAGGGATAATGTTCTTCAAAAGAAGGGAGGGAGGAGGAGGAACATTCTTTAAAATTAAATTGAAATATCAATAAAAGCACAACAGGAGAATAATC